GTGTGTGAGAGTGGGGGGGTGAGCAGGTGCGTGGGAGTGTAGGGGTGTGAGTGTGGGGCTGTGTGTGGGAATGCGTGTAGGGTTGTGGGTGGGTACAGGGGGGTGAGTACATCCGGTTGGGTGTGTGGGGGTGGGCGCATGGTGGTGGCACTGGTGGGTGCATGGGGGTGGGTGGGTGGGGTTGGGTGTGTGGGTGTGGGAGTGTGTGGAGGAGCGAGCATTGTGTTGGGGGGCGGGTGTGCATGTGTGGGCGAGACATGCATGAGCGGAAGGGCTTGCATGTGTGAGTGTGTGGTGCATGGCGGCCAGGGATGCGAATATGAGCAGGCGTGCTGGCATCGGCTTGTGTGCTGGCATTCCTGGGCATGTGGGCAGGCGGGCGTGGGCGGGCAGGTGGGTGAGTGGGCTTGCCGCTGGGTGTGCTGTTGTGCGTGCATGTGGCGGGTGCAGGGTGTGCGCGTGCGTGGGTGCATGGGTGGGTGCGTAGAAGGGGGTGATGAGGGGGTGGGGGTGTGCATGGGGGGGTGTGTGACTGCATCCATGTGTGCGTGCGTGTGTGCATGTGTGTGTTTTCAACTGTCACCGTCGCATATCTATAAACTACAAGAGCACACTAAGCCACACTTTGCAAATCAAGTGGAAAAAAGCAGACAATATGAAGCACATTAAACCGTCGTTTTGCCTTTTCCTGCGCAGTGCTTTCTTCTCTTTTCTTTGTCGTTTTTCATGGTTTCTCTTTTATTTCTTCTTTTCACTCCCACGTCTCACCTACAAAGCTCACCATGTTGATGTCGCTGAGTTTGAGCTGCCCACATCCCCCCGTGACGTAGTGTCCCACTTGCACACTATGAAAAGGAGTAGGGTGGAATGCTTACACTCCTGTTGGCTTTTCAGCACACCTGCATCTTATATTTGCCTCTTCTCTTAATGATGATCATTCATACCTCTTAAGCAGTTCTGCGTGGGGGGAGGGAGGGGGGAGAAGGGAGAAGGGAGGAGGGAGAAGGGAGAAGGGGAAGGGGAGGGAGATGAAGGGAGGAAGAAACAGAACACTGGAAAGACGAATTTCAGAGGGTTCTCAGTACTCACCGGCAGAGCAGACTGCTATAGAATGGCACAAGAGGAGTGTGTGTGTTTCAACAGATGGACGGGGATCGAGAGATGGAGGAATGGATTGGTAGGTGAGTGGATGGGTGGATGGATGGATGAGTGGAAGGGCGGGTGGGTGGATGGGTGGAGGGATGGAGTAGCGGGCGAATGTGGGTGAGGAGGTGGGTGGGTGAATGGATGAGCGGGTGGGTAGGTGGATGGATGGATGGGGAATTCGCCGGCAGATGGGTGGGGGCTTGGATGGACGGGGGACGGATGGGAGGATGGGTGGGGGGAAAGGTGGGCGGAGGGGTGGGAGGGGTGGGTGGGGGGAAGACCAGGCAGGCGGGGAAGCGGGCACAAGGGTGGGTACGCATATGGGTGGACAGGCCAGCAGATGGATGGAAGGGCAGGTGGGTGGATGGGCAAGCAGACTGGAGGATGGATAGACAGATGGGTGGACAGATGGACAAACTGACAAACAGATGGAGGGACGGAGGGAGGGACGGAGAGAGGGACAGAGGCCGGGATGGATGGAGGGAGGGATGAAAGGAGCGGGGGGAACAGAGGAAGGAAGGATTTGACAGGGTGAAGGATGGAAGGGTGATGGAGGGAAGGGACGGAGGAAGGGGAAAGAGAGGAGGGGCAGAGGGGAGGAAGGGGAAAGAGAGGAGGGGCAGAGGGGAGGAAGGGGAATGAGGAATGTATGAATGGATGAGTGGATCGAGGAATGCTGGGACAGAGGGTCCTGAGAGGGACGGAGGTATCGAAGGATGGAGGGATGGATGGACAGAGGGATGGACAGGCAGAGGGATGGGCAGAGGCACGGAGGGATGGAGGGATTGATGGAGAGCTGGGTGGAGTTACAGAGGGATGGACATATACGAAGTTCCAATCTGTGTGTGTGTGCTGTCTCTTATACACATCTAGATGTGTATAAGAGACAGCCCTTTCCTTTGCTGCTACCTGCTTTGCCTGAGC